TACAGTGTGTGATATTGCAAGAGACTGAATCTTGCTTTGTAAGCCTTTGTTGCTATTAAAATATTGGAAGTTACTCTTTATAAAAATGTCATTTCTCAACGCATAACTTCCGTTTGAATTGGATGTGAATATCTCAAATTTCGCCCACGGCTGCACAGAACTGTCAATTAAATTATCGTTCGCGGACCGTGGTTGGCGCATACTTTGAAAAATCCTCTTTTTTCCTCAAAATATAGCAAAGCAAATGCATCAGGCGTCAGCATGCGTCCCCATGTTGAGTTCGTGTTATTCGTCATGAATAACATGAATGAACTTAAATGAACGAACTGATTTAAGTGATTTTATTATTTCACAGAGCAGTATTTATAGTATTCATTATAAGATCCACGCGCTATGAAATATGAATGCGTTGTTAGAATGTGGTGTTAGGCTAGTTTCAAACGACAAACTTTACAAGTGCCGAATGCATTAAAAACAAAAGATAATGATGAATTTGTCTCATTTTTCATTGCCTGAAATGCGTTCGGCGCATGTAAAGTTCGACGTTTTGAAACAAGCCTTAGATTAGGATTATTTCGCCTAAAAAATAAAAAGTATATGCGTATAGATGTTTAAAACTTAATGTGAAATTATTTTTCAAACAATTTTACGTTCAATTTTAAACATTTTTGGGAAAACTTTTAGTCATGCATTGTTGCATGACCTGCATGACCGCTGGCGTCGCCACTGGCTACAATTTCATAAAGTCGGTGTCCCCACTGTAGAAAGTAGTATTAAGTTACTGTTAGACTTACTTTATTGATGGGTTTATTTTGATATGATAAGCACATGGTTGGCACTTAGCACATTTGGACTTGGGATTAGGTTGTCTAACGGACAACTTGTAATCACGTTATCAATAAATAACTATATAAAAAGCAAGAGGCATTCACGCTTTTTAAAACCACATTTCGGTCCTCTTCTGCTTTTTAACGTGCTCTGAAAATGACTTCTGAAATTGAGGAAGATGAGACAAACGAACTTGTCAATGTAAAATCGCAACAATCAGCTGAGGTGAGCATTGTCCTTTCATCATTTTTCAAATTGCTCAGAATGAATTCTAAGATTATTCTAAAGAAATACTAAATATCTTCATTTAGGAAAAATGGAGTGTGCCATATTTAGACGAAAACGACCATCACCATCCATTTCAAGAAGGTGAAAAAGGATCAATGTGATCCACACATATGTTTGCTTTGTTCACAAGAGTTGATAAGAGGATCCAAGTCGTACAAACAAAGGCATTGGGCAAGAAAACATAGTGGAGAGAAAGGAAATTATATGTCAGTCATTGTGCCAATAAATCACGTGAAGGCTCAAGCATTGTTAAAACAAAAAGATTCAACAAAGGGAAGAGCAGATTGCAAATGAAGAGACTGTTAATACAGTCAATACAGATCTGTCATCGTCATGCACGTCCACGATCACGTCCATTTTCTCTGGTCATGAGGTATATGCGAATGAGGATGACAGCACTCAGACCAGTACTTCTTATATTGGAATACGAATGTTATATTTTCAAATGTATTGGTAACTAAGGATAGCAACACAGCAGGGAAAATACAATCCACGGTATCAGATTTTTTTGACGAACAAGGATCGCAAGAGGTTGATGACGTATCAGACAATCCTATTGCTAGAATTGAAGATGGTATCAACCAAATTTTAGTCAGATTACAGGCATTAAACATGGATGGTGATGTTAGAAGAAGATCAAGCCACAATCCCATAACAACCAAGATAGAAGCTGTTAGCGATGCTGGTGTGAAGGCTGCCAGCAATTTGGTGGAATTGTCCAATTGCGAACAAATACAAGTCGATATTCTGACAGATGAATGTCGCGTAACCTGTGTTCCTTGCCACGACTATATCAAAGGAAATCCTATGGCTATGCTCACTACTTGCATATGAATTTTTACAACCACATAAAGTTAAATATATGTGGGAAGATATTATATGCAAATATTGGCCGCGGGCTCTACGTGTTACATCGGAAGAAAATCAAAATGCTTTAAGAAATATTGCACCAGCACTGTCTATAATGCATGGAAATCACACAGTTGGACATATCAGGTACGTTACATACGTAGGTTATGACTGTTTACCCAATAACTCGTAAGCTAAATACCACATACGCCGACGATAATGCTCTATTAAAGATGTTATGAGACGAAGTAATAATACTGTATTTCACGTAACTAAACCGTGGTTACGTAAATCTGAAAAGGGTTGTCTTGAATGGATGATTCTTTTCACACTTTTTAGGTTATTTGAAGCGGAAGATGGCAAAGTTATGCGGCAGCAACTGCTGGCGATAAAGTTGAGCAAATAAATTCGTATTTGTTAAGACTTGGCTCGACTACTAAAAATATGACGGCCTCCGGTGAGTATTACTTTCTGATCTGCATATCCACTCAGGTTTTTTGGTCGATTAAGTCCACGAACTAATGTACACATTAATGGTTGTACGTATTAAGGACGAGAAGAATGCATTACTGAACATCTTCTCAGTTGGAATAAGTGAAAAATTTTATTACGTACGTTTATAATATGAAATGAATTTACAGTTCATAGTTGTGTATAGGTCTTGTTTGAACCCAATACGTTTACTGCGCTAATATAATTCTTTTTCACTGTTTTTCATAATGTGTACTTGTATTTTGAAGACCGAAAGGCATTTTTCATCTCCCAGGGACGATTTTGTAAAGTTAAGAAGCGAACTTAATGTCCAGGATTCAGACTTTAACGATTCATGTAAAAAGTAAGGTTTGAATTGTAACTGCTGATATAGATTTAAACAAATCTTTCTACACTTAGTCAGAGAACAAGCTATAAAACATAGTTCGGAGCAAATAAAACTTGTCAACGCACATGCGATGAAACGTGTTATAATACTTAACGGAACAGAAATGATAATATTCTCTCATTTAATTCAGGGTGAATCTGAAATGGACATCTGCGCTTTTTTGGAAGCTATTTATAACGAATTGTTGATAGCTCAGGAATTTAGCTATCTACCGAACACAAATGAGGTCGAAAGAGACAGTCTTTATGAGACAAGTTGATTGCTAAAAGCAGTTAGATCACAGATGGTGATAGCTAAGGAAATATGTCAATGTTCCAAATATAACATAGGTTTAGACGTTTTAAGCAAATAGAAATATGTCAGCTATAGCAGTACAATTATTCTGGCAGGGGAAGGGGCTGCACAGGGAAAATTTACCGATCAATTATCGAGATTGTTATAATCAGGACATTTTTATAACATAAATGTAGAATTCTAATTCATCTCATAAGAATAGTATTTCCTAGCAATGATTTGAAGGAGCAAGAAAACTTCTTCTTTGCATTGCCCATGTACTCCACTTTCACATGTTATCTCAGCATCATTCAAGAATTTCCTAATTTATTACGGAAAAACTTTGACTTTCACGCCATTAAAAGTTTTACTCTTTCTTCTGAAGATTTAATACTTGTTAACATTTTTGCAAGAAGCTTTGCTCCGATTAAGAAACAACGTTTTAGGTTAAAACATGTACATCCGTCATATGTCATTTGTCCTCTGTCGTATCGTATACTTTGCAAATTAGAAGCTGCATGTTGTAGATTAATGAGATAATTTATCAATTAAGTGAACAAGAAGACAAAAAACCCGACTTAAGTAAAGACTACTGGGCCGTAACAGTGTAGTTTAACTTCATAACTGTCTGGCAAAATCATTTATTGGTCGAAAATATTTTACAAAAGCTCTTCCTTAAACCCGATAAAGGAAGTGATTTTTCTAGGCTCCATATCCCCTAGCTCACAAAATTGTTGTTCATTGGCAAATTTTATTCTTGTGCAGTTATTTGTTATTTTCACAAATTTTAATTCTTATGTCCAAACTTAAAATTTCCTTTCACATAGCAGCTGCGTATGAAACTGTTTCATTCAATATTTATTTATTGTATGTAGTCACAACATGGGAAAGAAACGTTGAAAGCACAAGCAGTGCAAGAAATCGGAGAACAACATGCAGATCCAAAAGTATGCCTATATATTTTTGAAAATAATTGTGGATGGTGTTCTAGTTTCACATCACATTCATCAAAATTCATAGGAAAGCAGACATCAGTCCACGATAGCTGAGGAAAATGAGCCCATTGTAAAGGATAATGTGCAGAACGCAGTTGATGAGGTTCGTTGATTAGTGAAAGCTAAACATTGCATGAGCCGTGCTGTTATATGTCAACAACTGTAATTTAATTAAATCCTACGTCCCAAAATATTTCAAAACTCCTAAAAAATGCTAGTATTTTGTTGCCAGTCTCTTTGAAAGAAAAATGAGTCACTACAATCTATACAAAAATTGTGCTTCTTACATTAAAATTTTGGTCGTATCTATAAGCTACGTACGAGTTGAGTTGTACGTTAACTGCTTTGGCAGCGTGGTTTATTTTCATAACGTGTGGCACAATCGTTTATAAGTCGAAAAATTTTCACAAAAAGCTATTCTTAAACCTAAATTCTCCTACTGAAATGTACAAAAATCAAAAAAATTACTGCTCAAAATAAAATTTCCAAAAAAGAATCCAAACTGTTTCACTTAAAATTCCCGAGATCAACGCTGTTCAGGACAGCAGTTTACTACAGCTAGAGAAATATGTTTTGTGCCATACGTTAGTTGGCTTAGAAAATTTAATGGAAATAGAAGAGACGAGTGCTCATGAGGTTAGATGAAGTCAGAGGGGTAACAGTCAAACATAGTCAATGAAAATGTCGATGTTCAAAAAGTAAAATAGGATTTGATGATTAAATGAAATTAAGAATATGGTGTATTTACAGCATTTTCATCTCGAATTTTTAATCCACGACTAGTTGAGTGTGAAATTTCGGCATGTCGATTTATCAGCACTACTTTTATTTGCTAAAAAAATTGAATTGTATACCATTTCCAAAGGCTAAAATTCGTCGTTCTTCAACATCAGTCAGATATATTTTTCACACCCAACATTCGTATGAATATCATTATAGTATGCAAATGCTTGTTTTGTCATTGCGTTGTTTTTTGTTTATTGCAGCCGCAAAAAGACAACGTTGGAGAAATCTCTGTCAATGAGCACAATGGACCGACTAACAAAGTATGTTTATATGTTACTATGATGGAGCAAAAACATTTTGGAAATTATTGTTTGCTTTTTAATTATGAATTATAAAGTTTCGTGGATTAATTGTTTAGACATTATCAGAAGAGATTGAGAATGTTTCTCACAAGACAATGTCTCCGGTATAGTAACTTGCAATTTCTCAAATATGTCGTGAAAAATCTGAATTTGAGAACCAACTGAAGGAAAGCAATTGTTTATTGTTCAATGAAAAATATGAACTTCTTTTTCTTTCGAAAGGGCTACAGAATTAATTTTTGGTGAATTTTTAAGTTTTCCTAAAACTTTTAATCGCGCATTATTCAAAGTTTCATAATCTTCGTAAACTTGATAAGTGGAATATATATCTCAGGGTTTTACATTTTATAAGGTTCATGTATATATTCCTGAAAAATTTCCCAAGTTTATTTTTTGTTGTTATGCTTTATTGGATAAGAAGGATATTTATACAAAAGGCTCAGATTGCATTTTCTGAAAGTGGCATTTTTCTCAATAACCCAGTTTTTCCATCCCTTGGGCGTCCTATTCCTTTTCTCTATAGAAAAGCCCCTCCTCTTTACATGCGAGACCCCCTACTACAACGCTCACCAGTCCACAAGATCCCTGTTCCTGTTTGTATATCGTTAAAATATAAGGAAGTGTTTCATTCTGTGCGATTATTTCTTTACTTCATGAGATTTTTGAGTGACCTATTGTAAAAATATTCTTTCACAAAAATGCATAGAATGTTTTGGAAAATAATGGTACAAAATTTTGTTCTTTGTAGCTGTCAAGGAATGAACAACGACAACTGGCAATTCAAGCCTGTGATAAACAAAATGAAGATTCTACGGTAGCTATGTCATCTTTATTTTCTTGGCACGGACTTATGGATGGCGTTCTTATTTCAAATGACTTCATAAATTTTTCAGCCAGAGGAACATACTGACAAGTCAGTTGTAAATGATATTTCGTCAGACAAGGACAATGAGGTCAGTGGATTTGTAATACAATAGTCGGTGATAGACTAGGGAAATTTTTGAAGATCCAAATCTTAATTGGAATGGGTTTAGAGTGTGGATGATTGAACGAAAATAGAAGTGCATGAGGTGTACCGTGAAAAATTTACCGTCTAGATTTAGGAAATTATGTACAATAAAACTATTTTTATGACATGCTAATATATTATAATATAATTCAATATAAAAAAAATTTGAATTTGCACTATTTCAGTGTTAATGCTTTGTTCATATTCAGACTCATGACAAATGCTTAAAGGAGTGTTTCGTGTACGGGATATTTGAACTATATCCCACCACTAAAGCCTTAGTTTTATAGCTTTTAAACATCGAATTAAAATTCAAATGTATGGATACGAGTGTATACTTTATCAATCGTTTTCATTTGTTATTTGTAGCTGTCAGGTGTGCAAGACAGCATAAGTGGAGAGCCTGGGCACGAAAACGATGAAGCAAATGACGATACGGTATTTTACACATTATTGGGGCAGAATACAATTGTATAAGAATTTTTAAGTTATAGCAACTAAATTATAATCTTTACAATATAACATGTTAGAATGATTTCGTTTTCTAGACAGTGTCGTCGAAAGAGTGCAAAGATGCCTCATACAAAACAGCCTATTCGGTAAGGTATCTTCAAATTATCTTTTAATTTCTTAAATAAGTGATCAACACAAAAAAAACTGCTGTTTTTAATAATACAATCTCAACCAGACACAAATGGAACTAATTTACATAATTATGTTAATTATGAAATTATTGTTTTATAGACAGAATTTTGCAAGGATATCTCTGACGAGACAATCTCTCTGGTATAGTAAACTGTAAATTTTCCATAATTTCTTTTTAGTTCTAAAATTGTAGACCAACTAACACAATTGTAGAAAAGCTTTTGTTACAAAAAGTGGCATATATCCATATATTCCTGTTCTGGTGTATCGAGCTACTTTGAAATTGATTGTTTCCTGTGAACTATAACATGCACATGTGAATATTGCCCCTCAGCAGTGTTTTTTATGTTTCCTGTTCTTATTTGTATTATAGAAAGAAAGAATTGTATTAACACTATCTGAACTTAATCGTAGTTGCTTAAGATTCTAAAATAACCATTTTTATGTCTTAAACCAAACAAAATCTATGTCAAACCACTAGAACCTATTGCAAAGGGTATTTTTTATTTGAGTCTGAATTAGGTGCAATATTCTTACTAACTTATTTTCAGATTTTTTGTTTGTTGGTACAATGCATAAAGTAAATACTAAAAACTAATTAAAATAATTGATGAAGACAATGATAAACTTAACACCGTTAATGAATCATGCGAGAGCAAATCGACGTCATTGGAGATGGACAAAGTATTGTAGTGTTTTTCAGTTTTTACAATATATACTTTCATGGAAAATTTTTGAAAATTTAATTCTTGTCAATATTATTTATTGAATTTTGTTTACTTGTAGGTCGATGGATCATGTGACACATACTATGAGATGGAGGAAGATCCTGCTCTTCTAACAAATGAGATTACTGAATCTTCATCCGAGGAGCCTGAAATAAACGGTGTACACTCGAGTTATGTCGATAGCAACCATTTGAATCATTTAAAGAGCAATCAAGATTTACAAACTTTCGCACATTCCTTAAAAATCATCAAAAGGGTAAACATTTTTTTATACAAATTCGTGAGGACATTTTGAATTCTAATTAAGAATTTTGCTGACTGAAAAGGCTCTTAACGCCAAGCTATTGAGAACGATGACACATTTTTGCTCAATGACGAGACAATAACTGACTTTTTCTATATTATCTAAAATTTCAAATCTTCCGCAACCATTTTGATGGAATAGTTCGTGTACATCACTGTACAATGTATGAGTATATTTGTTGCGATTATTTTATAGACAATATAATTTCAGAATACTTTTCTTAGTATAAGTCATGAATCACATGATAATATCCAATACTCTATAAGAAACATCATAAGTGAGGAAATACGTTTAAGAAACGTTTCAAGTTAAAAAATTGTGCATCTGTCATATGTCATTTGTCCTCTGTTGTATTTTATACTTTGCAGATTAAAATCTGCATGCTATAAATTCAGGAGATAATTTAGCATTTAAGAGAACAAGGAGGCAAAAAAAGCTCAATTTGAGTAAAAACAACAGGGGCGTAGCTGGAACGTGCCTTGTAGCTAGGACGTAGCTAGTAGGGACGTGTTTATTCATGTATTAATTGTACCCAACTGATTTCTATAGAAAGCAGACTCAATTTCAAGAGAAATCAGAAAAAACGATGGAAAAGCGTTGTTCTGTAAATTTGCACCATGTGCTTTGGCTAACCTAAAACTGTTGTTAACTACCTTGCAAATTTGTTTCTGTCCTGTACAGCTGATTCAAAAATTGGGTCAGATTTCGTTGGGGACCAAGTTTGTGATGAAAATTTTGGAGTTGCTGAATAATGAGCAAGAACTAAATGAGCTAATGAAGGAAGAAAATGAGGATTGGGAAAAGCTAATGAAGGAAGTAAATGAGGATTGGGAACAGCCAATGAAGGAAGTGCTAGCAAAACTAAAAAAAACGATGGTGATGCCATGTACCAACATACTTATTGCCCTACAAAAAGGCTTCTTAACATCAATCTTCAAAAAAGAGGTCGGTGTTGGCAGAAAGCATTATTTTCTAAATACGGCATTAATGAATTTAAAGTGTCGCATCATAAAGCAGGACTTATGATTTATATCACTGCCGAGAAGAGTCATTGTGTCGTCTTGATTATGGACGAAAATGGTGAAGAAGTGAATATTTACGACGCTACTATCAACGAAGACGAAGTCGAAAATTTGGAAAATCTTCGCAGCTTACAGATCCTCGTATTGACTTATACGAATGATAAGAATGATAAGATACCTCTCATTGAAAAGAATGGTCAAAGTGCAAAGAGTATTTTTGTTCAAATAACTATGTTGAAGCGCACAAAAGCAATAACTCCGCCAATTAACTGGATTTTTCTTTTTATAGTGATTTGCAATCAATTTTGTAATGCATGTAGTAATTGTCACAGTTTTACGGTTTATTAATTGGTGAGATGTCAAATTTTGAGTATCATATAATCACAATGATCTTTTCTTAAAATCGTTTGTTTAAGTGTAAATTTGGTGAGAGCTTTTGGTATAAATATGTATCGTTATAGTTAATTGCTACGTATAATATATCTTTAATAATAATAATAATAATGAGGATGAATTATTTTTGATTGCAAAGAAAGCACATTGCATAATACAACTGAGCTGCGTGAATAATAGATTCATGTACTGTCGGAAGATCATAAGAAGCTATAGAAAAATTGCACTAAGCTCACACTAACTCTCCCAAAAAGGAACCCAGACCCATTGCGCGAAAGACTTTTATATAATTCAATGCAAAATATGACCATTTTAGTTTGCAAGTAGCCAGTCATCTCATTTTTGTATAATTTCACATTTCTCAAAATCTAGTTGTTGTTCAAGTCTAGTCTTATTGTTGACAATGATTACAAAAGTTCCATATTTCTTTGGCATTGTAGTTTACTGTCTTATAACTATCATTGACAACAGATAGAAAACAAATATCAACAGTAAAACTAAATAGAATTTCATGAGTATAATAATACGATTTTGCTGTTTTAATTTCCCTTTGGTTTTATTCCTTCATTATTTAGATGATTCCTTGCCTTGTCACAGGAATGGTATTTGTCGTTTATAACTCATATCTTAATTTTATTTTTCATCCATGAAATTTTATTTATGTTTTAATTGAAATTGAAACGTTTGAATACACCCAGCATTCATATATCAAAATGGTAAGTCAAGGGTGGACTTTTGAGAGTAGAGGGATGTGATCACCTTTTACTGCATCACAAGTGGTAGAATTCACAAGAATCACATCAAAAATCAGCATACAGGTTCATCTCCTTTAAATTTTGAATTTTATTTTTTTGCACTACAAGTCAAACACGTGAGATTTTTGTTGTTGAGTTTAGGTTTAGTCAGTTCAATCTCGTTGTCTTTGTTTTAACTCTCTATTCGCTTGTGCAATTAAGGATAAAGTATCAAAAGCCTGTTTTACAAATAATTCTTTGCTTTCGCCTCAGAGAAGCTTTCTGCCAGCTGGAGGAGAGTTTTGCTCAACTGATTAATCCATTTAGTAAGGAACTCTCCTTTTTTTGGGTTGCAGCTGTTGCCAATTTTCCGAGTTTACTCTGGTGGGTTCCATGGCCTCACATTTTTTTAACTGAGGGAAAATCTTGTTTCTCTTTTAATTTTTCTTCAGTGAGCTACGTGCGATGAAGTTTATCAACAACCTTTGCAAGGCTTTAAGTGACTTCTGGCCTTCTTTTCTCATCATTTAATCTAATAAGCAACCATGGCCAAGGCTTTCGAAGGTGACGAATTGGGGGGGTGGATTTGATGTTTGTTTTCTGACATATTGATGACTGATGAGTTCATTTACAATTTTAGTTATATTATCTTCTGAAACTTCCCGTTTTCATGAGTGTTTTGGACGCGGCTATTTTTCTTCCGCGAGGCTGACTTTTGAAATTTCCAAAATTGTCAGTCTCAAAATTGCTGGGAGACGCTGCTAATGCACGCACTGAATGCTGGGATGCTGGAACGCTATCCCTACCCATGTGACAACTTATAACGCGCAGTACATGGAAATAGTTCACGAAATGACATTTGACATGCATGTAAGTTATAAAATGCTCATGCTGACTGACGCAATTTCTAGAAATGCTTAAAATACGGTTTTTATCGGCTTAGATTATACAAGGAAGTGCTTATGCACAAGGCTTATAACAATAACATTTTTCGTATAACTTAATGACATATATATGACTTAAGTTATCTTGTAGTGAAGACCATTTTCCAGATCTTAACATGTAGCGAAAGTTGGAATTGCCGGATTTCCTCAGAAAACGTTATAGGTTTGGAAGACTTTATAATTGCCTAAGAGTTATTGGAAGAGATTGATTTGTAATTAAGCAACATTAAATTGCGCAAAATGAATACTAGATGCAAGAGAAAACTGAAGGACGAAATGAAAATTAACTACTGTCAAAAAGTCACAAGTAAAAGAATTGATTTTATGAGATAATTTGGTGTTACATGTTTGTAGACAGCATCAACAGTCCTTCTCAGGATTCTACTAACCTGCACAATCTACATCTACAAATATGTAACGATGGACCCGGCCTTAAACGATATACTTTATTAAAATTCCACCATCAATAATTACAACGCATGTTTCATTAACTCTTTCATCTCATTCACCATAAACATTGTGTGTAGTGCTTGTTTTCAAAACTCCAACATATTTGCAAAAAAATTTCAATATTAAATTCGTCAAAGTGTTCATGGTTATAGAAAGAAACAAATAAACGTCATCTGAATGTTTTTGTGTTTTTTGGTTTCTTTATTACGTGAAGTATTACCCAACATTGACATTTTTACATTCTTCAAAACTTTATAATATTTCATCAATTGTTATTAATATTAAATGCTGTTTCATGTAACCCAACTACCATATGCGCTCTGAAAGAAACTTTTGCATACGTATGTCAAATCCGTCAATTCGTCGAACCGAGTAGTTGCAAGACGGCGTTTGGATAAGATACTTTGCTAAAGACGTTTTTGCTTTCCTTACTGTCAACCATATCTTGTGAACGTTGTCCTGCTACTTAGAGATAAGACGTGAGTACTTCATAACCATTTCATATATAATGACTTGCGTAACGCAAAACACAAATGTTGTGATGGACAATGTCTCAAAAAAAAGGTTTAGGAAATGAGTTAAGATTTCCTCGAGGCCATCAGAAAAGATCTGTTAAGAAAATTAGATTACCTGTTTCTTTTGCTAGATACGCTAGGTGTTATGGTAATTCGTGAGATGGTCTTCAAATTCAAAACAGAAGTTTAAATTCGTTTTACGCCAATTCTGTGAATGTTTACGTCCTTAAAACTAGTACTTTATTCAGTTTAGTGAGAGTATTTCAAACATTGAGTAGCTATTTTTATCATAAAATATCAGTGGTAATCAACAATTATTACTTGTTGACCAAGCGCCAGGTTTTTTTCCTTTCTGAGAAATATCGGACCGAAGTGTTTTTGTACAGAACGAGATTGTGATGTGTACAAACTATTCTCACAAATCTTAACATTTCAGTCTGGTCAAAAAATTGTGAATTAAAAAAAATTTCCATAAGAGCAGGATGACCGAGCCTATCTCGGCGACATAAGTTCTCGTAACTCCGAATTAAAAGCTCAGCATTTCTACTGCATTTTTCATTGTGTCCTTGCCCCTCTTCTAAGTGTACACGCTGCCACAGCGTTACTATCAAGAGCTGCAACTATATATTTTGACGAACTTGAATTCGTCGCCAATCACACACACACACACCTCAGTTGCTCTGGGTTTAGCTTGGCAAGTCGATCAATCCAAAACGCAACCTTTATTGGTCTCAATTCTATCTTGCCTTGCTTTTGTTCAAAGCAAATAAACTATCATGTAATTCACACACTATTAGCGTCCCAAGTTTTCTTACATCATTCTTCTGCCACTTTTATATGGAATTTCTTAGCACTGAAGTTCGTTAAAAAGTAAGCGTGCGGGGGCTCTTTTCAGAAAGTAAAACAACGGCAAAATTAATAAGGGGCGGGGGAGGGGAATAACCCTCCTCTGTCCCTGCCAGATTTGATGACAAATTTTTTGTCTTATACTCTAACTCAGGGGTCTCCAAACTACGGCCCGCGGGCCAGATGCGGCCCGTTGGGCGTCTCAATCCGGCCCGCGGAGAAACTTAAGAAAGCCAATTTCATCAATCACATTGAGAAAACTGAACAGACTAATTGTGATTTTGTTATGATACTACTCTTGGTTGAAATTTAACCTTTAAATTTTGAATAAATATTTTCTTAACTAATGAAGCTTGTGTACTGTACTTCGTTTTATTAAAATACTTGCTCTTTGACCAGCGGTATACAGTTCGTCGGCCCTCAACATGCTGGATAAAAGTTAATGTGGCCTTCTGGCTGTAAAGTTTGGAGACCCCTGCTCTAACTTATGTATCACTAGGGTCGTAATAGTCACATGTTTCGTTTTGACGCTACATCATTCGAACAGGAAAACTAAACGAATAAGATGCACAAGGATACACCTCGAGAAGCACTAAAAATACACGATACAATAAAATACTCTCAAAGAAATAGGATTCACTAAAAATACATGGAGTACACAAGTAATAAGTTACACTTTCCATTTTTAAAGAAAAAACATCATTGAGAAAATGAACAGCAACATGAAAGTACTGCTACTGCTGTTTGTTTTGGGAAGTGCTTGGAGACGGCTGAATGGTAAGTGCACATAAGAGTTTAGCACTAATATTGTCTTAGAATAAAAAACTAGTTTAACTAAGAAATTTTGAAATCAGTTAAAATTCTCATATAGGTTTGGAGTGTGTACATGGAAATTGTTACTATTTCAGTAATCACACAACCACCTGGCTTAATGCAAGAAAGTATTGTCTGGATAAAGGTGCTGACTTTGCAGTTCCCTTCTCAAAGACAAACAATGACTATCTTTATTCAGAAATGAGTAAAAAAGGGTAAATAAGGCTTTTATTGGTTTCTTCAAGACGGCCCTAGGCCTCGGCTAGAAATTCTACACTACTAATGGCCGTCGTCCGGTTTCCACCAACTGGGGGGAAGGCCAACCTAGTAATAACAATGGCAATGAAGATTGTGGCGAGATTATTGCCTATCATTATGGTTTTTATGCAGGTGGCATACATAACGATCTGCCATGTTTATTTATTTGTAAGATAATGAGCAGCAGGAAAGCTGGTAACTAAACATTGTTACGTCAAATTGCGTGGGTAACTATATGATTTTTAGTCTTAGTGTGAAACTTTATGTTATTCTTAAATGCGTTGCACAATTTAGACGTCATTGCTACCTTTTTCTCGATAAAAACATAGACAGCAGATGCTGCTGTTAAATAAAAGAAAAATCACTGTAAGTTTTTGAGTTTTAATGTCTGCCTTTTTTGACGATTTACGGTGATATCGACATTTATTACGCTTAGCGTACAGAAAGCTGCGAGAAAAGTTGATTTTTAGCCACGTCTATTTTTAAAACTGAAATGAAAGTGAACTGAATTGAAATAAACACCAATCATCTTGATTGTGATTAACAGTTTCAACATTTTTAAAACTGGCTTTATTTCAAATATTTGGCTGCGAAGTCTTTGTGGATGTATTTGATATCGATGTACCTTTTGTGTATGTATTTCGATCTCGTGCTTGTACGTATCTGCGCTTAAGTTCTCCCTCGGTTTACATAAGTCTTATCAAACAATAGTAAACATCTTTTATTTCTTAGCTTTTCATCAAAACTTGAATCAATGCAGTTTCACGCCGATTTAAATACTAAATGTACCAAAAATCGATACAAATGGGTTAGATGGGAAGAAAAAAAGTCAATTGAATATTTTTCGTAGATTTAGCCTTCTTCAGTAAGTAAAGAATTACCTTACGATGACATGTTTACATTCCACGAAACTCTTCAATTTTTCAACAATTATTGATGCGCATTTAATATACACGACGAGTTTTTTTAGAACAGACATGTTTCGACATCTCATGATGCCATCTTCAGTATGAATGAAATAGCTCTAATAATGATACAAGGTTTAAAAAACTCGTCGTGTATATTAGAAGCGCATTAGCAATAGTGCTTTTACGAAATTATGTCAACAATTATTATTATAATTTATTTCTTTAATTTAATGCAGCTTTTTGTAAAGTTGGAGGCCATGTTGTGCTCTAATCAAAATTTTCGCATACATATTATAAGGTTGGTGCAACAGATGCTAACATCGAGATGGTTCGTAGAATCACTTTATTGAAAGTAACTGTTTGTTTTTCTTTCATCACTGTCAAACAAATCCCTTAAGTATTGTCCTTAAAGAAACTTAAAGGAAAGAAGTAAGTATTTGATAATCCATTACATTTTCTTTCGTCGTTTTATCCCAGGTGAACCGTGAATTAGTGCTGCGCAATTTGCAATTTGTGTCTCCAGTTCGTTGTAATGTCGCATAAATTTCTAGTTCTGTCGATCGCGTGTTAAAGACTTTATTCATTAATAAGCAAACAACTTCACAAAGCTAGATGAACTAGAAAGTATTTTCGTCTTTTGAAGAAGCGGAAATCATTCTCTTGCGATTTTGGGTTAAAGACCATCAGAAACAACTCACTCTGAAAGTTCTTATTTCTACATGCCATCTACAATCAAATTCGCCTTGTTTACAACTTCAAAATTGTTCATTAACTGAAATTGAAAATTAATTAAAGTAATTCACTGAAATCTAAGCATGAAATATTTCAGGCAAAACTTTTAATGCCAGTAAATTGTGTATACCATGAATAGTATTTGGACAAACCACATGTAATGGAAAATATCTGATCCCTAAATTTCCCATGGAGCAATTTAATCATACAACTTTGCCTTTCAACTTTATGACACCAGTACCACAAAATATCTTTGTCCATATAATCAATTGGAAAAATCAAATGAGCATCAATAAAGCTTCAAAACAATGACTACATCATGTTATTTTAAAATTGAAATTAAAAATGCTTAAACCACAAATACATTTTTACATTTGGTAATGTTGTTGCCCTAGTGATTTTTACATTTTAGCCTTAAATTCTTTGACTGCAAAAGAATTCTGAAGTAAATACACTTTGCAATGTAATTTTATGCAATGTTTGAATCCTCATCATAAGATAAGAATCACTTTTCTTAACTTATTTTAACATCTACAACCAGCATGGAAACTCCTTAAAAAGGCTTTTGCAACAATTTAGTTCAGCTTAAGTTTCACGCCATCCCAGTTCATTCTAATTGTCCACCTCTATCCCAGAGCCCCCATTGTTTGAAACTAATCACAGTGTACATTAAATAGTATTACCTATAACATGAATAAAAATTTGAGAAAATCGAGAAATAAATGGATTATGTACCTATGTATCCGTGTAAAAGCTGTGAAGCTAAACTTAAATGAATATCAACAATGTTTTGTTGCACCCCCAGAAACTAAAAATTCTTAATCCGGGTGAGCTAGTTATCTAATAATCAATGACTTATGAGCCAGTAGCAATGACAATATATATATAATATATATATTCTTCTTTGAATTTTTTCATTGTCTTATCACATCCAAACTACATTTATTGTCTTTTTTTATTACATGCGCTGTGGTATGTGGAAAATTTTGTTTTTCTTAAGCACTGATGAGCATATGATAAACACACTTGCAGTCCTGCACACACATTTGCAAACAAAACACTAAAACAGAGATTTATGATTTATGGTAAAAATTATCAACTTTCTGAACTTTGCTTGCTGGTAGATACAAAAATTTTCAAAATCTCTGCCAAGTGAAACTTTTTTTATTATAATCATGACTGCTGCCCAGCTGTTAATCAACAGACGCTTTATTCGGTTTCAATTCAATTCAAGCGTGCACTTGATTCTTTAATGTCGACTATGTCGTTCAGACGGTGACTATCCTCGACATACATAAACACTGTCGTACGTAGATATTTTAAATATCGTGACAACATCAAATAATTGACTGGATGTTTAAAAAAAAACAAAAAAGGCTATTTCTGTACTGCACATTTTACATTAAGAGTGTGTCACTGTGCCTGCCATTATTGTTTAGTTTTATACCCCCCACGAAGATAAGCAAATAATTATCATCACACCGTAAATAAATTTGTGTTCATGAGTTGGGAATTGGCAGGGGGGTTTGCGGTACAGGAATTAACTCGTATTAATGACATCCACTCAGAAATCTAAATTCTGAGACAAACCTTCGGCTAGTAAGTTTTGACGAATTATATACCAACATAGGAGAACAAGGGTCGTTGTTCTCCAATGTTGGTAAAGCTCCATCGGAAGAGCTAGAGGAAGAGAGTATCAGGTTGGCATTGATCGAGATTTGGGAGTCATATTTTCAGTGGAACACGAGATGTGTAGTCTGGTTTAAAGTCTTTACCAAATGAATACAGCAACGTAACACTTGAAGCAAAAGATTGGCTTTTTTTAACAGGCGCAGTTTTATAGGCAGCATTTCCTATTTGCGGAATGGAGAGGATTGTTGCAAATTTTATGTGAATAGGAACTTATCAGTTAAATTTTATTTACATATTTTGGACTATGCAAGCTTTCTTTTGAACGTCATTAGGTCAGAACATATTTTAACGGTCATTCGCATGGTTAACTCAGCAGAAGAAATGATTGAAGGCAACATACCATGTGAAGATCATAATTGCAGTTTTTTGATATTGCAAATTCAAGTTAAGCTAGTCCTGTCTGCTTTGTCTCTTGCTTCCGCTGTCCCTGTGGCAAGTCCCTAGATCTTTTTTATACCAACAAGTACATGCTGTGTAAGATCTAGTTAACACTGACTTGGTGCTTTAAAATATCAGTTTCTGCAATATATCATAATATCAAACCGCTAAATATTAGATTGCAATCACTTACTATGTACTACTATCAATCACTAGAAAATTACTATGCCAAGCTTCCCAAATCACCAAATCAACAAAATATTACCAAAAAAACAAGCATCTAAGGAACTTTTCTCGCACCTTCGTTTGTAAGATACCTGATACCAAGTATTGATACTTGTCGATATTTACAAAATGTCGATTTTTACACCAAGTATCGAAAAATTTGGATACTGTTATTTGCAGGCCTTCCATAGATTGGATTTACAATTCAACCATTTTAGAGCATAAGTTTCTTTAGATTAGATTTACGTGCATTTCATTTCACTCTTTTATAGTATAAATTACGCTGGTTTGGATTCAAAATTTTCATAAAATTAACTGCACGATATTAAATGGACAAATTGACATGCCCGAAAAATTGACGTCTCAACAATTTGACGAGGGGTTAGGAGGCTGCTCGCCAAAACGTTGTTCCTTGTACCAAAATCTTGAAAATTCTTCTATTAAAAAAATCATATAAGAATACTTTTCAAATTAAATAAAACCCGGCATAATAATCCAGACATAATTACGTAATGGTGCGTTTGTTCACTGTGATGTTCTGCCTATACTCCATACAATAGAGTACATTCTCTACGTGTTTCATATCATAGATCTTTATAATTTATTCCGATGTTTGAACTTGAAATACGGATATTTAGAATTTTTTGCGACAAAATTTTTTGATTTTCTTAATTTTTTACTCTTTTTTGCAGTTGGGCTTGAAATTCATTCAATATAGTTGGGAAGATCTACGAAGTATAAAAATAAAAGTGGTAAGATCTTAATTTGTTTACATGTTGTCAAAATTCCACTTGAAAGGCTGCTTCTCAATGAAATGAGCACCATGTTGGCAATGTCCTGAACGATTAATGTGAAATTCATTTTCTATGTCAGATCATGGCCGAGGCGCAAGATACAGACTTGGACAGTTTTGAGGTATACATGAAAAGTTGAGAATAAACAGAAGCTTGATGAATTGTTGGGGAAGATAAAATAAATCAGCAGTAGCATAGTACGACTATTTTGCAAGAAGATGCACCACGACAACAAACATCATACATTTTAAGAAAAGCATATAGTTTAGTTATAGGTTATGCAACTCCAAATCAATTTTCCGTTTTTCTTACAATTTTAGGCTGTTAAAGGGTGTTAGTACTCTTCTTGAGAGTAATATAGAGAACAAACTGTATTTTACTCCGCCATGGCATATTATGTTTAAAAACAATGTATTATTACCCGTATGAGCTTGATCCTTTTCCTTTTTTAAGCATAAATGCGTACGTTTTATACCATTTCAAAGTTTAAGCTTCTTTTGTAATCAAGAAAGTGGCTCAAATTCGTCAGTATTAAATTTCAGTCAGTGTATTTTTAAAGAGATTCCTCTCTCTCCCCTATGAATATTATTAAAATACACATACATATTTATCATTTCTTAGTTATTTTTTTTTTTATTGTATCGAAAGATCGCGTACAGACTCAATAAACCTAGAACATGCAATAAAGTATGCTCATACATTATTATGTTTTAAAACCATGTGCATTATGTAAATTATGATTAGTAAATATAAACACAAATAAGTTTCACTGAATGACCTGTCAGTCGTGTGTTATATTTCTCACAAAACATAACACCTATCAGGCATTCACTCGGGCAACTCGAGAACAGTATTTGGTTATATTTGTGTATTATAATGATTTCAAATGTGGCAACATATTGTTAACATGGAAGTAAATCATGTTTCATAATAATACGTGCCTTAAGTGACACTCGCGCGTGAAGCGATCCAAGAAGGAATTAGATTACTTCAACGACTTTGGATCAGTCATGTCTGATTTATGTATTCTCGCGCCAATATAGGATAATCCAAATTTCAAACTCGGGCTTTCATTCGGTAGCCCGAAGAAGAATATGTCCTGTATAACGATAATAACCTGTAAATTCTCCGGTGTGTTCTTACAATTCTAACATTGATGACCAACTGAAGAAAAGCTATTGTTTTAATTTACAGACACTAACAAAAGAAGAGAGTATAGGAGACCAGATTCAAGAGACTTACGGAAGCGGGATTATTTCAGTATGTTGGCTATACGTATAAAATATATTGTTAAGTTTACCCTTGCAGTTGATCGCCAGTGGTTTTTCTTGCTTTCCAAAACAGAAAATTAGGAATATAATATCATAATCGAACATGGTTTACAAAACGAAATTTTGGTCAATTGCTGGACGTCAATGGGCTATTGATATATTCATTTGTGATTGTCAAAATTAGTTAAATGTTAAGACTCACACTCACTAAGGGCTTGTTCATATGAGCCGGGCTGGCGCTTTGCCGGGCCAGTTTATTATTTCATTCACATGAGGCAGGCTGGCCCGGCAAGTACAGAAATAATTAATTACGAAAGCAGGATAAAAGTCCAAATCCCGATATTCATATTACTTTCATAAGCTGAAAGAAACTCTGTAATGTTATGCATTATTCTATGGACAACTTATGCACAACTCACCGAAAGTTGTCCTTTTACGTGCCCCGTATTTTCTACCACATTGAATTTTATGAGCATGCGCTCTAGTGCAATGTTTGGCCCAGCATGCCGGGATAGCTCGTCTAGTGCATTCACATGAGCCCGTTTATTATGAGATCCAGCCTCGCTCAAGCGGCTTTACGAGGCAGCCTGCCTCTCATATGAATCAAATTTGAAATTATATGTAAATACTAAAAGAGGCGAGATTTTGCTACTGCCAGGCTAACCCGGTAAAGTGGGCCAGCCTGGCTCATATAAACAGGCCCTAAGTGGGGCTTCAAAATCATCTCACAATTGTTCGAAGAGGGCATTTTCACTTGCTTGATTTGAGATCTTTTAGAGAAAATCCTGCCATACATGGACAAATAATTTGTTTTTATAGTGTCCCGAGTAACACCTAACAAATATTCAATGCTCGAAACATTTTATTTTTTTAAATAATTGAAGTCGCATGTTGTTCCATGTAGAAACATTACTTAAAATGGCAACTCACAGATTCAATCCTGAGTGTACAAAAACAATGTCACTACGAACACAATAGACTTGTGTCTCAGTACTATTTATTGAACAAAATAAATGACCAGTGAAAACATTAATAGTTGCTCTTTCTTAGGAAAATTTAATCCATTGTGATACAAGTAAGATATCAAGTGACAATGAAGCTTTTACAAAAAATAGTTCCTGCATTGTTTCTAACAATAAACAAGAAGATGAAATACGGAGATTGGAGATGCAAATTATCGAAAAAAATGATGAAAGACGGAGATTTGAGTTGAAAATTAGCAAAATAAACGATGAAAGACGGAGATTCGAGTTGCACGTCCGTGAAATAACAATGTAATACAGAGATTGGAACAAGAACTAAAGAAATGTATGGAAAAAGATCAAAATGTGCCCGAAAAACGTGTTCAAGTCAAAAAGGTGATTTTTCTCGGTCCAATATCCCATAGTTCACAAAGTTCCTGTTCAGTGCCAAATTTTATCCTTGTGCAGTTATTTTTTATTTTCATGAGTTTTAATTTGGACGACCAAACTTATAAATTTCCTTTCACATAAAAGGTGGGTAGGAAAATGTTTCATTCAATATTTGTTTATTGTATATAGCGGCCAGAGGGGCAAGAAACATTACAACAGCAAGCACTAAAAGAAATTGGAGAACTACAAGATCCAACAGTATGTCAATTTATTTTTGCATATAATTGTGTATGCTGTTCTAATTTTACATGACATTTATCAAAATCCCCAAGAAAGTAGACATCAGTACACGATAGCTGAGAAAAGTTAGTCTATTGTAAAGGACAATGTGCAGCATGTAGTTGATGAGATTATTGATTGGTGAAAGCTATAAACATTGCATGACCTACACTCCCCAGTGTAATTTAATTGAAATCCTAAGTCTTAAAAGATCTCAAATTCCTTAAAGTCCCAGTCTCCTTGAAACAAAAGTAAATCACTACCATGTGCCTTTGTTATCACATAGCTACGTTTATGGTATATCTTTATGATAAGTTAATATGTCAGAACTCAATAAGAAGCAATAGAAAGGATTGCTCAATGCTCGTACTAACACTACTAAAGACATCATTGTAATAAATGTAACCATGGTAAATTCGTATAATCACGAGTGAAATATATAAAATTTACTGGAACCATAACTTGTATTGTTTTATCCCGTGATTGGTTCAAGCCAAACATCCAGCTAAATTTTAATCAACTCTCCTCTGAAATAATTCAGTTTCTAATTGTTTTCTTCGCAACTGACGTTTGTTTTGGCTTCTTGGCAGTTGACAAACGTGAAAAAATATTCACTGTTGTTTTTTGACAGATTTTGTGCTTTAAAATTGTATCGCTCATACTTAGTGTATGCTACAGCAGGATATTTGTAAAGAGAAAATAATCGGCAATAATCTAGGGGATTGATCGACTAACTAAAACAATGAATGACGATGGACTGAATGACAAGAAATAGAAAAATATATCAATATTTAAAGCATTTTGTAAAACTGATAGTTTATAATTTACGACTTTTACGTTTAAAATTGTTCCACTGATATATCTTATTTGATGACTCACTATTTTCCTCGTTTATTTATTGTTTTCTTTTAACAATATTATATACTAAGCTTACCGGCCCGTTTTATGAATGTGTTTATTTTATTTTCTCTCTTTTTATGCTTTACACTGACAGTAAAAGAACAAATTTTATGTATTTAAAATATAATCTTCATATGCATTTACATAAAAAAGTAAATTCATAAGATGAAGATTTTAAACTCTTTTAAAACTCTTTTGCGAGGATCTTGCATTCTTAGTAATGATCTGAGCTGTATATATATATGCTTCTAAAAAACACCATTTTCTCTTGCAAATTGCTCAATTTTTAAAAAATCTTTTGAGTTTGTGTATTTAACATGGAACTAAAATATTTGGGTGGTTTGAACGATTAGCTATGTCAAGGACAAGTTCACTTTTGCAAATTTATAAATATAAAAATTCTATTTAGTCTACCAAAGGACTAGAGCGACCTAAATGGCTGCCATCATATGGCTTCAATTCCCCCCTCTGACATATTGTTCCAGTGTATATTAAAGTTCACTTAATGCCATACAGAATGAAGAAACTTAAGAAACGAATTTGGTCTTTTGCTAAAATTTGGCTACTTTTAACCAATATTTGCTTACAAGGGAGAACTGTTGATAGACATGAGCTACCAACTACCAAGAGCATTTAGCCCAGGATATGAACTACGAATGAACTACTAGTACAAATCAGTGGATTTATGCAAACTTATCTATAATAAAACGAATTGCGACAATTGGAGAAGTTTCCACAACGTGTTTATAAAATAAAGCTTCATCTTTGTACATTTTGGTATGAGTTAAAAGTTCAGAATGCACTTAGTGTGATGAGCGTTTAGCTTTTCTATAGTATTCGTATAAGTATAATAGAAGTGAAAATATCGGCGGTTAAAAATACCGTTTTGACGAAAATTGCATTCTGATATACCCGGTCCTGGACACTAGCGTGCGGTACCTCGTGATGTCAGTGTTCTCTCTAATCGTGATTGTTTTCACCATTATTTTCACTGGTTTTACTTTCAGTATTTAGAAATCACGAGGAGTGAATGACAAAATAATTTTTCAAGAGGAAAGTTTTCACCCAAAATTTCCTTTCGGCATCGATGTTTTTGACAACATGTTCCAGGCCCCTTTTCCCGTCCAAGTAATTTAATAGAACTTAATAATTCGCCCTCCATGCTGTTAACTAGTTTGGTAAAATTAGAGACACTATATTTTAAAATCAATTGTTTCAACAAATATTTCCAGGTCCTAAAATTGTCTGTTACTGAATCAGTGAACTGAACCACTATATAGGTATTGTACAGTATGCTCACATCATTTAGTTCTATAATAACTGGAGCGGCTATCTCAAGAGCGGCTTTAGATATCAGATGTTGTCAAAAAGGTGGTAAAATTTATCTATTTCCGCTGACATTCACTGAAATTGACTGCTTTGTAGAAAATTTTGCAATTTCTGACTCCCCCCTGAAGAAAGAGTGAGAAAAAAGTATTTTGTATGAATGTTTTGTATGAATGTATGCTGCACCGGCACCGCAGAGGTCATGGGTTCGAATCCCGTTGAGTCACCTGATTTTTTCAGGTCCTGAGACGATTGCTTAAATTGTCCAGCAAAGTGCGAAGATCATATCTTCATTTAAAAAAGTATTTTCTTATTTGGCATTTGACAAGCAAACTTATGATCTAAAATCAAGGTAAAAAACTGAAATTCATAAAAGCGAGTCAACTGTGGTTGTTAGTTGTCGGCTCTTACAAACATGCGTTTTTGTAACTACCGACGAAGAAGCTTTTTGCTGGCTACATATCAAAGCAGATGCACGACGCAGCCACGTCAACATTCAAACTTGTTTGCCTTATTAAATTTTATGGTTTATACGAAGAAAAAGTACATCTTGGATTATCTGTACGGTTGCCGTGAGAAGTGCTAGCTCATTTTGAGTCCTTCATTCTCATTACTTTTTTGCTTTCTTTCATGTAATGGCCTTTTGGTTTTTCGTCACAATTGTAAGATTTGCTCTTGTACATGCATGCCACTCTGTATAAATGAATAAATGGCTGAAAAGTTACCTCTTGACTCAATATTTTTGATTTTGTGTGATTAATTTTCATTTAAATTTCTAAACGACTCAAGTTAGCATAAGAGATGATGGGTATAGGTCATTGATAAATAAAAATAAATATTGTATACAAATTACCTAGTAACCTTTAATAGTTAAACATTTAGATCTATAATTTAAAGAAACCTTAAAGATTTTTAGAAATTATATAGTTACAGATTTGTACTACCTGTTTCTCATCCATATCGTGAACAAACTCACGATGCAAAAAATTGAAGAAGCACTTGGAAAAGTCAAAAAGTTTTCCCGTTTTTAAAAAAGCAGGAAATAAAGCAAATGCCACATGTCCATTCTTTGCTATAATAGGTAAATAGCTCAAAATGTCATTTAAGGTAAAAACTGAAGTAAGGAAGAAATATATAGTACTACAAATTTGAAGTTTTCTTTAATGCTTCAATATAGCATTCATTAGATATTAGTAACATTCAAACAACACTCTACAGAAATATTTTAATAAAGATATGACATGATTTGACCATTTACTTATAAAAAAGTGAGTCATAAATCATCAATCTCAGTATCAATATCAATATCCACATAAACACAAACTTAATGACCATTTTACAGTACTGTGAATTGACATTGCATCAAGTATCCAAGCGCTTACAGCCACCTTGCCTCGCCATCTTTCTTTGCTACCTTTACTTTCTTTTCAAAGCATTCAAGGAATCATTAATATATCGTCCCCATCCCTAAAATTAGACCATGGTCAAAAACTCCTGAAATAATGATGAAATGGTGTTAATCCTGCATCATATTCCTGAAACACTTTGCAAACTGATCATCGCTTTGTGTTGTCAGCAAATAGGATCAGAACAAATTGTGCTCCATTTTATGGTTACTGGTGGAGGTGGCAGTTTCTTCATGTTATCTATTCACTGAGAAACTGTGCGGGCTCTATTTTGGCATCAGGGACACTATTTTGCTAATAGATGGGTAAAATTATTGAATTTCATAACAAAAAACAGGAAAATATCAGTATATTTGGTATGAAAGTCAGTGTTTTTAATACGGTCTTCTAGATTTTGTGTCTTTTTAAGAGTATTAATTGCTTTTCAATCTTTGATGAACAAACAAAACAAGCAAATATCTTACCTGTTACAGTGAGATGTTCCTTTTGTGCTCATTAGGTATTCAACAATTGAACGATAAAAGTGTTGGCATTATAGTAGACATAACACAAAAACGTGTTTGTTTTAATAAATCCTATATAATTTACTATAAATGACAGGGGAGGTCGAGAGTAATTTTTCTGCAAAGCGAACATTTCAGCGGAAATAGGTCATGTGGCATCCATGTTTTTGACTACATCGCCCTAGTCCACTTAGCCCTTCCAGTTATTATAGAACTCAATGGCTCAGTCTCGCAAAAACTTATCCTCGCGCATATTGGCCGCAATGTTGTCAGTAAGGAAAGAGGAGTGAAAATATTAAGAATTCATGTATTGGGTTTTTTAATTCCATATGGGAAGTTATTGATCTAAAATAATTTAGATCAATTCCTAATTCTTCTCCTTCTCACTGTCTGATCAGTTTCTTTTACCACTTGCTTTGTAAAACTGACAGAACCGGTAACTCAGTGCGAGTTTCAATTCTTGATTTTTCTAAATCTCTCGATCTTATCGAGCACAACATTTTACTAAAGAAATTATGAAACATGAAAGTCTCTGAAAAAGTAAAGAACGAAACTTCTTAACTGAAAGAAAACAAAGCATGAAACTAAACGATTATGTCTCTGAATGGCGAGCCATCAACAGTGGTGTAGCCGAATGAACAGTTTTGTGTCCGATACTTTTCCAAGTAATGATTAAAGATCTTTTAGAATGGTGGCCGGGTCAATGGAAATTAGTCGATGACTGTACTGCTACCGAAAGCATCCCACATGGAACACAGAACAAAATGAAACTTAGCGTATCTAAATGCAAAGAACTAATCGTAGATGTTTCTAAACATAATAAAACGTTTCCACCTTTACATGTAGGAGATTTGAGATCGAAAGATGCAAAATCTTCTCTTGTTTTTTGACTGAACGTGTTATTCACATCAGTGTTATTCCTGTTATTATTTTAAAAAATTCAAGCCAAATCCGTTTGTGAAATGCTTGCAAACCTCGACGATTCCGCCATAAGACTTTTTGCGTTTACAATTTTCATACTAAAAATTACGTCACCTACAGATAATTTACAATGTTTTGGTTGTGTATGTTGCGTATTTATAACTATGTGTTTGCTCTTAATCAATCACAATCGACATTGCATCATCATTTTGTAAAAAAACAATTCAAAGTCCATATTGCGCAGTTAAAAAAACAAAACGAAATAAATGACACGTCAGCGACCTCAACAAAGAAGAAATTTGTTACAAGCGAACGCTTTTAATATCACCAGCCATATCAAAATACATTAGTTCAAGTGAGTACCTGTACATTATCACAACATCAATCAACAGATACATTATTCGCGACAACAGTTGGGGTTGGTAGTAACATATTTAGGTAGTCAATTAAAATTGCCTTCTACCTTTCTGGCCTTCATAGTTTCCACACTGATTTTGTATTTTTTTAGAGCATTACGTCTGCTCATTGGGAGGGGAGGCTGGGCCCTCGATATTGCCAACATAAAGTAAACACTCATTGATATTTCAGTACCCAATTAAGGAGACCATCAGGACTGCCGGCCTTTGAGTGACTAATTTTTCTTAACTTTTTAACAACCTCGATTTTGTTGACTTCGATGAACTGATCGTTCTCATCCATAGACATATATTCATCAGGAGATAGCGGAGAATATTCTTGCATCACATTTATAAAGGATGTGTTGATTTTATCGCATAAAATTTTTCATCGTTATCTAATTCTGTAGATAACATGTCTTCAATTTTTTTCAGTTAAATTCATAGTTTCCACTGGGTTGTTTGACCTCTTGCCACCACTTATTAGGTTTTGCATTTAGCAAAAATTTGCATTTTGCATTAAATACAAAATTGTATCATCAGCATTCACATTGTGGGTTTTAAGTTTTCATCAGATAAAACACAACGCAATTGTGTAACTTTCAATATTTAATTTTTTTCGTGAATACTCAAACGCTGTTTTTCAATATTAAATTTGCCAAAGATCAGATTAAATGAGTAAAGGAAGAAGAAAGTGAACGTAGCTAATCTAAATATTTTTCTGCGTCTGGTTTTTTTATTACGTTATGCATTATACCCAACAACAAGATGTTTACATTCCTCAGACAACTAAAAATTTTAATCAATTGTTATTATAATCAAGTGCTATTTCATGTGACCTTGGAAAAAATTTTGCATACGTATTCAGTTTTTTCGTTAAAAAGACTTTGTACAGAGTTCGTTTGAAAGGCGTTCGTTTCATTATAGTTCACAAAAACTGTAAACATTGTTCTGCGATTTAAAAGAAAGAAAGTGAGTATTTGAAAGATCATTAGGACAAATACCTTTAGTGTTGTTCTTTTTCGCGAGATGAAATAGGGAATTTGTTATGCGTCATTTGTCAAATCAAGTGCCGCACTTATAATGTACATCTTGTTAAATTGCACTATCTTTCATTTTATCCACAGAAAACCGCATTGGAAAGAAGGATACATTAAACAAGATTTTATTCTTCTTATTCGTTTTCAGCAGGTAGCTAATATGGCGAGAACAGAGGAATTCATTAACGAGGTACGGGAAAGATAAATTTTGTGATGATGTGATCAACCATCTTTAAAACAAGGCTTAGGAAATATTTTAAGAGTTCCATCAGGCAATGAGAACTACGAAAGTTATAGGAGTAATTTGCTTAGCTTTTCTTTTCTGCCCACGCAGGATTACGATTATTCAAACTTGCTGTCGATGATTCAATTATATATTTGCCAAGAGTTTATGGTAGTATTTGAACAAAAAAATGAAAATTAAATAAACCATGCAAACATCACATGTAAATATGTAGCAAGAAAGTTTGGTTTGTGTTATAGTTCATATGCTTCTTATGTAAGACGCAGTAGATGATCGCCAAACTATAACTGTCAACAATTGAAAGGTTTGTTGAAAATTGTGATTGTCTAACAGCGCATTATGGGTTGTCAGATGATTTTCACTTCATGATAAGAACATTATGGACCATAGTATTTGCTAGGTATTTTTTGTTCATTTTTAGCTTTCAAATTAAATTTTTAGTTACGAGAATTTGCAGATGTCATAGAAAAATCGAGAACAGCAATTGATGATGCTGATCTTCAATGTCTGATGAACTTGAAGAAAAAATATGCACAAGTATTTACGAAATCTGTATGTACAATTTTCAAACAGTTTTCCCTTCAATCAACCATTTAAATAAACTCGCTTTTAAGGTTGAATGTCAACATGTAGTGTTATTTCGCTTGTGATTTAATGTATAGAATTTTTCACTGGAAAAATGTACTTGGGCAATTATGAGCAGAAGGTTTGAAGTTTTAGTGTTTAATTGTTGTTGAATTTTGTATTAACTTTTATTATGTGCACCATAGATTCTCCGGTTCCATTCCCCTCAAAACTACAAATTCTTGTTGCAGATAGTGTATTTTTAAAGTGAGTCTTTCCCTAAACAACACAGCTCTTTCGTACTTGTACATTTGATACGTTACATGTGTATATTTTATTATTGCTTGGTTATTTGTCAATTGCAGCCGAAAAATTTGCAGAAGATCAAGAGAGAAGGGCTTGCACACGAACCAGGTACAAACAGTAAGGTATGTTTATGAATTATTATGATGAATCCAAAACCTTTATAAATTATGGTTATAGTAAATTACGAACATGCAAATTTTGGTTATGATGTCAGGATGATTTCATTTGTGGAGAGTGTCGAAAGGGCGAAGATATCTCTAACAATACAGTGCTTTCAGTAAAGTAACCTGTAAATTCTTCAGTGAATCTTTTGAATTCTAAAACTATGGACCAACTGAACAAAAGCTTTTTAAATAACTAGCACTAAAAGCAAGGCTTGAGAATGTGAAAACACATTTCAGTAACTGATTGAGGAGCAACCACATTAGTTTAATAAGCTATGTAAGCTATCGGTTTGTTTGCTAGTGTTTTTCACGTGTTTTCCTGAAAAAACCAATTGTCGAGGAATTACTAAGTCCACCTTGTTTTTTTCAGAGCACAATCTTTACTCCTTCATCTTTGATGTCAAAAATATCATTTTGGAAAAACTCGAAAGAGAAACGGCTTGGTTCTAACCAGGTAAATGTTTTGGTAACAACTTCATGATATCAAAATCATTTATCACTTGACATTCATCATCGCTAGCTGTCATTAATGACTATAACATATCATTTTCGTTTTATTTTATACTAAATCTTAATTTTACACAACTTCACACGTCTTTTTCTTCTTGATTCTGACAAACAAACGGAGCTTACCTCAATTTTCTGTAAATTCTCTTAAAACGTAACTGGTTTCAGTAGATGTATCTAATATTGGCATTACTGTATGCTACAGGCATTTTAGGAATGAAAATCCATTGGTGAAATATTCAAATAATCTCAATAATCTCAATCAATTATCGTTTATAGATTTTATCATGGCAATTTTCTCTGTAATTATTTTAGTTAGCTGATGCATGTAATTGTGAATTTGCTTTTCAAATTATCAAATAATTACCTCAAATTTTCAAATTATCAAATAATTACCTGCAAAAACTCATTCAATAATCTCTATGTGAAGGAGATTCAAAGTACCCATTGAACAAAAAATACTAACATTTACAAGATTAAAGTCAGCTTTATACTCTTGGTTTTAAAGTAATTGATACTGTTTTGTACCTAAAGTATATAATATGTTTTAGGTCTCCGACTGGATCCAGTAGGAGTCCTTGCATGTAATCACGCACCATGTGGTAGCAATGCAATGATGACGTTGCTGAAAGAGGAAGGCGCAAATATGTGCCCTACAAGGACATCGCAAAATTGATGAAGTCTTTAACGATAAAAATTGCGGAGGAGATTACTGTAATGTACCGTCGTTCAAGTCCAGGTATCATTTGAAGACTTAGTGGAAATGTTAAAAAAAGTTGACAAAATGATGATCTTTAAATGTCCATTACGTTGTGTATAAATATGAGAGAAGGTTCCCTGGAACCAATATTCCCTGATTTGGATGGCAACAACACGGATGTGTTAGAAAAGCAAAGGAGAAGTTAAAATCTTCAAAGAATACAGCAGCAATTTTGAGATGTGTCACAGAAGACCAGCCACTGTTTGAACTTGATCAAGGACGAAAGAACTGGAGAGGTTCACATTTCCGACGGACTTATGGAACCAACGAAATCCAAGGCTTCGAGAATGTTCTCAGTTTACATCTGTTTGTGCTGTCAAGAAAGGGCGAAAAGATCGTGATCGCTGAAAGAATGGTCCAACTGTAAAATGGACAAATGTGAAGCGGAATATAAATCTGGTCATGCAATAATATCAAGGAGTTAAAGAGAGCTTAAGACTCCATATATTCAACGACGTTGTACAAATTAAAGTCAGTTTTATACGTCGCATTTTACATCAGTCAATGCATTCAAAACAAAAGATAATGAGGAATTTTATCTAATTTTCTTTCGTCTTTTCATCCAGCTGTACAGTAAATCCTGGGAAAATTACAGGAATTTTACACTTTCTGCACGTGACAGTTTTACATATGTCCGAAGTCGTTACAAAGTTGAGAGAAAATACCGCTTGCATAGGTCGGCACTAGATAATGGTTAACAGACGTACGCCTGCACATTTATGATTTTATGTCAGCAGCCAGTATTATACAAATTGACAAGTTTCCTTATAATCCATAGCCTAGAATGCTTCCTTCATATAAAATGTACGAATGACGATCGCCTTTTTTAACAAACTAAATACAGACAAAATGCAAAATACTAAAAGTTTCTGTTCAAGTTTGAATAAATATTCTTTCTTTAATCTTTTTCTACATTGTATATTGACCATATTGGGCATTGGCAGTATTATACTTCATATGTATTTTTATTGTATAATCACATCACAAACAATGTAGTGTATGTATTCAAAATATTCCAAAGTAACTAAACGCCTTAAGAAATATAATGAAGTATCATAAAGAGAAGTATAAATGGCTTGTTGTT